CACCCTAACATGCCTTAATTTAAAGGAAAATATGTTTTCAATGTGGTAGTCATAATTGAGTAGCTTTCAAACCACTCATGTTTTGTGTGGCTTTTTTTTAGCTGAATGTAAAATGCCTTACCTGGGCATTTATTCTGTAGTTCACTACAGACCCTATTGCAGCTTCCCATTATAGCTTAAGACTTCATTTGTTTTCCCCTCCTGGACAGTGCGAAGGCACTTTAACTTGTGCCCCATAGATTAACCCTCCAAAAAAGAATACTTATTACACAACTCCAAAACCCCAAACTTTGATAGGCTTGATAGGTGAAATGTTGAATACAAAACTGATTATCTGAAATGTAAACCTCTACCCCTCCACCACACACAAACTGTTAAAAAACAAAACCAAAGAAAAACAAACCCACTTCATTAAGTCGATTCCAACTCATAGCATCCCTCTGTAGCACTGGTTCTGAATCTGTGGGTCGTGACCCCTTTCGGGGTCGAACGACCCTTTCACAGGGGTCGCCCAATTCATAACAGTAGAAAAATTAGTTATGAAGTAGCAACGAAACTAATTTTATGGTTGGGGGTCACCACAACATGTATTAAAAGGCCGCGGCATTAAGAAAGTTGAGAACCACTGCTCTATAGCATTTTCGTGTATCTTTCCAGGAGCGGACAGCCTCATCTTTCTCCCTCAGAGCAGCTGGTGAGTATAAACCACCAAACTTATAATTGGCAGCCCAACCCTTAACCTTACTGCAACTAAGTATCTATATACTGCAAATAAGTATATGCTATAAACCTGCTAGTGATGTTTCGGTGTGCTGGTTAATGAAATAATCTTTTACAACTATTATATTGCCTGGGAATATATTCACAATCTAATGTAAGTAACCATGCACAAAATTACCCAGAGTATAGAGATTATATTTACACAAAAAGAGTACAAGGAAATTCACTAAAATATCAGGTTCCAATCTCTTGAGTTGTGGGACTATAGGTTCTTCTTTTTCTTTACTTTCGTTATTTTCAAATTTAATGAAGTGAGCATGAATTACACTTATAACCAGGGTAGTAAAACAATATCTTCAGCAAAGAAACCTCATAAATTCAAATAGGTTGTCCTCCCTGATCCTTAAATTTTGGATGAGGAAAGAGAATGCATACTTCCTGAGTGTCATTGTTGTCTCGGGGATGCTAGAGGTTTACAACATTTAATCACCAAAACCTCATACAAAACTCCCCGCTAAAAAACTATAATAAAAAAATAAAACTCCCCGATTTTGAGATAGAGGTTTAAAAAAAAAGCAATAAAACTGCAGGACACAAAACCAAAGAAATTTAGAGGAAAAAGCAGAAATAATAAGAGAAAACGTTTAAACAGGGTTAAAGGCAAGTGAAAGAGGGGGTGGGGGAAGAAGATATAGGCAAAGAAAATGATCATTTATTCATACAGTCATCAAATATTTAGTGCCAACCATTTTAACACACTTTGCTGGAGCTCATGGGCATACAGAGATGGGTCTGGCACAGGTAAAAAGACATGCATATGACACTCCTCCCCACACATCCAACATAATTATCCCAAACCAACAGAATATTAACAAATCCAGGGAATAACACACTTGCCAGCAATTAAAACGGAAACAACACTGTCATGTGGCAGGTGTCGAGTAACTGCAGAGTGGAGAGGGAGAAAGAATTAGGTGTCTGGCTGGAGGGATGAAGGGGAATGGTGTTCTAAGGAAGAAAGGTTGCATGATGACAATCTGTTTGGGTTTTTAAAATTTACCACACCACTTACCTCTTTCTAAATGGAATAGGTTTGTATCACACCAGGCAAAGTACCTCAATCTCTCCCGAGTGCTAGGCCTGCACTTAGAATTGCTTACTTAGCAATGTTGCTAAGGTACCAGGAAGGCCTCTCAAATACTGTGTCCCCAACCAAATTATCATCCACCACCTCTTTCCCCGTGTTCCTGCTGTAGCTGATGGATTTACTATCCATTTAAAAGGACAAAACTCTAAATAAAAAAATAAGACAAAACTCATTGTCATCAAGTCAATTTCAACGCAGGGTGACCCAACCCTATAGGACAGGGTAGAACTGCCCCTATGAGTTTCGGAGACTGCAACTCTGTATGGGAGTAAAAAGCCTCATTTGTCTCCTCAGGAGCGGCTTGTGGTTTTGAACTGCCAACCCCATGCGTTAGCAGTCTAACGCGCAACTATGCCACCAAGGCTCCACATTATCCATTTAGAAGTTGGTTTATCCCACAAATGTGCACTGAGTGTGTGGTATGTGCTGTGGCTAAGCCTAAGGAAAGACAGGCATTAAATAAGTAAACACAAAAATAGCAAAGCATACAAATGTAAAGAAAAATGGTATCCTTGAGAGAGAATAACGGAAGAGGGTGTTTAGATGGGGGCTATAAGAAAGGCCTCTCTGACAAAATGACATCAACTGAGACTTGAGGGATGGAAGGGAGCTAGGAAGGTTATGGTTGAAAGAGAGGTCCCTAGCAGAGAGAACAACCTTGGCGAAGACACAAAGGGAGAAAAGAGCTTAGAGAATGGAATGGAAAGAAAGTCCTGTAACAGAGAAAAGGAAAAGGGTCGTAGGAGATGACGGCAGAAAGGTTACCAGGGCCCAGTTGTGCAGGTCCTGTTCAAATTCTAGAACTATACTCTAAATGCAATGAAGCCATCAAATGAAAACAGAACTGCTTCCTCTGCCCTCGTGGGACAGGCAGCCTAATGGGGATACATGTAAGCAACAGATTCCAAGTGTTAGCATTGGGGAAGTATACAGTTTCGAGGGGTACCTAGTCTGTTCAGAAAGAGGTATACAGGGTGGAAAACAACCCATCCAGTCGTCATCAAACTCATTCTAGCTCCTGGGAGAATGATTTCCAACTGGCTATAAAGGTGCTGGCCTTTCTTCCAAGGTACTTCTAGGTGGGTTCAAACAGACAACCTTTCAGTCAGTCGTCAAGTACTTACCCATTTGCATCACCCAGGGACTCTTCTGTAAGGGCAGGGGAACTAGGGAAGGACTCCTGCAGGAAATGACACCTACTGTGAGTCCTGCAGGATGAACAGAAGTTCTCCAGATAGAGAGAGAAGGGGGTTCCAGGAAGAGGGAACAGTGTGTACAAGGGTGGTACTGAACAGAAACAGTGAAAGGGATGAACACTCAGGGTGACAAACGCATAGAACAGGAGAGCCAGGGAAAGTGGCCCACCATGAAGAGCCTTTTCATAGATTTCGCTTTTTTCCTGGGAGCAGTCAGGAACTGTAGCAAGGCAGAGAAATCATTCTTTTCCTTGGACGTTGACTCTGACTCTTCCTTTGCTCGTCAGGTCCCCAAAATCTTATCTCTGAAGCGTTTCTCCTATTCATGTGCTACTGTCTTAATTCAAGTCCCATCATGCTACATTTGGGCCGCGGAAACAATTTAATTGGTCAAACAGCTTTCAATGTCTCCCTCCAATCCATCTTCCACACTACTGCCTACCATCTTTAACACAAATGACGGTATGTCATTCCCCAAATCAAAACTATACGTGGCTGTCCAGAGGACAAATTCCAAACTCTTTAGCTTTGATCCCTTGCCACCATTTGGCGCTGACCTATATCTTCTGAGTTTAACACCCTATCACTATCTATCACAATGATTTCCAAACTTTTTGGACTCAATCCACAGTAAGAAATACTTCTCAGCACACATGGACAGATCCACACAGAACACTGAAACAAGTCACAGCACACAATTAAAGTACAACTGGTAAATTCTATTCTGTTCTAGTTTTTTGTTTGTTTGAAATGCTGGTTGTGACTTATTCATGACCTGCTAATATATTCTGGTCTGCTATTTGGAAATCACTGACTACTCCCTGCTCTTGCATCTTCTCTCTACTCAGCTCAGAGCAAACTGTTGCTTCACCCTTTGCTCAAACAGTCCTGGACCCCAGGAAAATACCCTGGCCCTCTGCACTGTTCGGCAAACAAGCTCCTTCTGACTTTTCAAGACTCAAGGAAAATGTTACTTTGAGAATCTTTCTAGGTTAATGCCCGAGTCACCAGGGATCCAAATGTAGTTGTCCCAGGGATCAATACACCCTGGGTGACAATATGTGTCATGGCAAAAACTAAAACTCATTGCTACTGAGTCAATCAGAAACTATAGCAACGGGATTAAAACTGGCCTTGTGGGTTTCCAAGACTATAAATCTTTACAAGAGTAGAAAGTCTCATCTTTCTGCTGCAGAGCTGCAGGTGGTTTCAAATTGCTGACCTTGCTGGTTAGCAGTTCCACATGTATTCTCTAGGCCACCAGGGTTCCTAGACTTGCCATTTAGAGTAATGACTTAACAAAAACTCTGGACTAGGTTTCTGGAAGGCAGCAACCTAGTTGCTTTATCTCAGTTCCAAAACTGGGTCTGGTGAGAAGCAGAAGTCAGAGGATGTTTTGCTAAATAAATGTAAACTTAACTCCTCTTATACTACCCTCCCTAAGACCTCCCCATCTTGAATGCGCATCATATACTAGCTTTCTTCAAACACACAGGTGTTCAGGACTTGATTATTTCCTTTTCAGAACTTTGTTGTGTTATTTCCAGGATGAGTTCCTACTTTATTTTCATGGCATCAGAAAAGGAGTCTGCCCAACCTCTCATCGCATTTCCTTTACTTTTGATATTTCTCATTGAAACAAATCTTGTTTTCTATGTTGCCCGTTTATCTGTCTCCCTGTTAGAATGGTGCCCCTTTGGAGAGCACGGTCTAGCGAGCTCTTCCCCAGTAACGCTAGCCTGCAGAACTTCAGTTAACATTTGGTGATGGGAGACAAAGACACCACAGGGCTTTAAGGGATCTGTGGACCTGTATGAAGCCGCCCGAAGAGTCTTGGGCAGAACCTAAGGGCTGGGCGTCCGCAGGGCACGCAGAGGCCAGAGTCGAGGTCGAAGGGAGACTGGAGGTGGGGCTCCCGGCGCCCTTCCGGGGCCTACCAGTAGTAAGTGACAGTGCAGGCCGTGCACATCCGCTCGGCCGGGGCTTCGCACACCTCACAGCGCAGCTTGCGCCCCTTCGGCACGGCCAGAGGGTAGATGACGTTCATGTTGCCGACCGTCGTGCAGGCACGCAGACGGTTGCTGGGCGAGGACACGCGGGGTCCTGGCGTCACGTGACAGTCACGCCGCAGCGCCGCTCTCAGGCCCTCACCTAGAGATCTAATGGCCGGGCAGTCCAATGAAAGGAATCCGGAGCCGGAAAAAGAAAACAGCTCTACGGTGGCCGCTAAGGACCAATTGACCTCCCTCGCCCTCGTC